CTCAAGTTAATTTATCATAGTATGATATCGAACTTGGCTATTAATCTAGTCGATTATGATTATACAAGTTTTTTTCGATTCTCAAATATTCTAGCTCTTGAGTAAACTAACTATGGTATACTCCTATTATGGCCACAGCATTCCTCGAGCAAACATTTATCGATGTGCAATGTGATAACTCATTTAGCATATAAGAAATGACACGTCCTATCTTAGTCATCCACCTATCTTCATTAGATTCCTAGTGTATCCAATGAATCGCCCATATGCAACCTTTACTAGATCTATCGAAATGAATGTCAAAGTAAATAAATCCTCTAAAAGAGAACCGTAATAACCTCAAGTTAAAGGATTAGTTATACCCATCTCGTATGAGATTTCCATAGACTAAACCAAATGAGTTCTTATGGCGAGTCAAGTCTAGTGATATGTTCTCTAACATTAATCACTTAAGTGCTTGCTTTGATATCATCATGCCAATAGGTGTGAGATCCCTTACTCGCTATCTTATAACATGAGCTTAGCACTAATAAGTCTAACCGCATATAGTTAATGTCCATGCTTGACAATGTTATGACTTGAGACATTTTAATGATATCATCTAAGTGCATTAATATTTGTCTCATATCTTTCGATCAATCATTAATGCAATGCATATCATATGGACTTCTATCTAATTCTATTCAATAAATATAAGAATTAATACAAAGATTTATTTATTAATAAAATAATTAATGTAATATTAGAATAAGTCAAACAATCTAATCAAGGTTGGAACTTGAGCACCTACACTAACAGCTAGTTCCGGTTCTCCTCCTTTAGACTCGTTTAGTAAGAATTTTTAACTTTCCCATTGTTTATCTTTAATTTAATGTCTCTCTTAATTCATTTTCTCATTGTTTCTTTCCAATTCTACTTTAACTCATTCCCTACTGCCCACTCTATAATTCCCCTCTTTATGCTAAAACCCTAAATTCTACCTTTATTTATACCCGAGAGACTCTCCTTACTAATAGGATCAATTCTCACCACTTTCATAACCAAACAAACTTTCCTTGTCTGTTGTATGTTTTGGCTCTATATGAAAAGAGCCAAAATATATGTTTAATATGTTGTGTTATACATTTGTGTTGTTTGTTTTGCAAGTGCAACGTGATAAGAGAAATGTACACTCTAACAAGAATTGTAGTGCAAGGAGGAGTTGACAGTATTGTCCTTTTTGGCCTATTATACTCACCGATAAAGATGAAACAAAGCCAAATGGTGGAAAAGTGTAGAAATTGACGTGTTGGATTTCTATTAAAAAGGCTTAGACTATAAGTCATCGGGTGATCCGAATTGGTCATGTCGTTTGCCTCTAAGGGTCATTTAGGTCCTTGTTAGTTATGTTTTGTTTCAATTGTATCATTTGATTGTATCAACGTAGTCCTTGTATTTTTTAATTTCTTTAGTTAAGTCCTTAGGTCTTGTAATTGTTGTTTTGAAATTTCCAATCGATTCAATTGTATCCCTAATTGCCTCAATTTCAATTTTGTTTGATTCAATTATGCCACTAATGCAGTTAATTTTTTATATTTTGTATTGTTTATATCTTTTTTTTTTTTGTCTCGTTTTTATTATTAATAAATAACAAATAAATAAAAGATAAAATTAAAGATAAAAAATAAAAAATTAAAGGGAAATTTTGGATTATAATACTTCCGTTGAAGCTGAATATCAAGTCATGGCTTTAGTTACAACAAGTCATGGCTTTAGTTACAAGTGAACTTATCGGGCTTCGCTATCTTCTTAAAGATCTCCATGTTTTTTGTTTGTCCCTAGGTCACCTATATTGTGACAAAATCAAGCCATTGTCACTTTCCATGTTTCTTCTCAAAATCGACTTGGTGACCTCTTCACTAAGGCTTTGGGTCGTGATTAGTTTCAACATCTTTTAAGTAAATTGGGCATTTCGAACCTTTATGCTTCAACATGAGGAGGACTATTGCGAGATATCGCCCTTCACGACCAAAGGTTAGTTTTGCTTCCTTTCTTGTACATATATGACTGATTTTACTCGTAGATTCTCTCTTGTAAATCTTGCGTATCTCTTGTAATTGTGTATATAAATGTCCGGTCATTTGTGAAGTTCGAGTTTTATCCTTGAATTGTTGTTGTTGTTTTGTTTTTTTGTTTTTTTTTTTTTTTTTTGGGCACTAGTCATAGACTTCTGAAAACAAAAGATTTTTTGGTGGCTCTATGCATAGGGAAGAAAAAAAAAAAGGAGTGGTGGTCTAAAGCCATATAGATATGCTACTGCACGACACGAACTAATATATATACACAAGAGTATATGAGATTTTATACAGGGATTCCTAAGATTATTAATCCATTCCTTGTAGGAAGGAAGAATGTTGTTGCTGGAGGGAAGATGCATGGCTGTTGATGGAGGTGCGAAACCTTGCTCATAGAAAACCTAAAAAATTTTGAAGGTAGTAACTTAGCTGGTGAAAGCAATCTATAATTTCTAGTGAAATTCTTGAGGTTGGATTTGACCCATATATAACAGGATCAAATACTAGGGTTGGGTTTGCTTTGCTGAAAAAACATTTGTTGTGAAAATTATAAATATCGATAGCTTTGGCTCTTTGCTTTGCTTTCTAAAAATATATGCCAACAATTCCACACAGCTCCTGGGCAAATGACTTGTTTCTATCTGCATCTCGGAAATAGAGCGGCAAATACCTCGTTGCTTGCCAAGATGGACTACATTTTTAGCTGGATTATCTTCTTTCAAAGAAGCCCATTATTAGACTGTTGTCAAACCAAAAGCCCAAATAACGTGTCTGGAGATACCATTCAATTATATAACTTTTGTACTCCACCTGTTTCTATTTCTATTTCTACTTGGCAAAACTCCAAAATCTACCCCGTATTTGTATTAATTATTCATTTTTATGCTTGTATTTTTAATTTGATCAATCAACTCTTGTGTTTTGTTGGATTCTTTCAATTTTTTTTTTTTTTTTGAATGTATTCAATTAAGCCAATAGCCAACTTCTATCAAGTCTTCATGTTAATAATGCATGCTAATTATGTGACAATTAAATACTTTACATAATGAGATGATTTTTATATATATATATATATATATATATATATATATATATATATATATATATATATATATATATATATATATTCATGAAGGGCTTATATCATTAAATAAATTATCTTAGATATTTTTTAAGATGATTTATTATATCATTTTATTTTTACAAGACCCTTTTTTTATACCAGCCCTCTCATAAATTAAAAATATTTAATTATATAGCAAAGCAAATATGTGAGGGCTTGTGTGCCAAAATTAAAGAAAAGATAGGAAGACTGGTTTTCTAGGTTGGGCCAATACTGCATACGTTTTCAGAAAAATGGGCTCTTTCAAATCAGCCCATTAAAACTTTAGACTAACTTTAACCAAAACCCCACCTACTTGTTAAAAAAAAAAAAAAAAATTAAACCAATGTATTTGTGACAGACAGAGCAGAGGCAGGGGGAATTGTCCAGGTTATATGTGAATGCGAAATCAAGAACAATTAAGAAACAAAGATTATGATTTTTTTTTTAATTGTAACTTCTTATATTTTTCTCTAATTTTTGTTCATTTATATCTGGTACTTCACTATCTTCTGTTTACGTATATTAGACTTGCTTTTTACCTTCAGCTTTTGCTGCTTCCCTTTAAATTTCCACTTCCACGAAACTTAGCATTTCTTTCTTTCTTTTACAAGAAACAAGAATTTAAGCACTTTTTGTAAAGTATTCATTATCTAGATATTGTGCGATTCTTGTGTTTCTTTTCTTTCCTTTTTTTTTTTTTTTTCCTTTCTTGTTGTTTCTTTATTCCATTCGCCTCAAGAGGTTGCCTCTGATGATGTCCGTCTGGGAACAAGATAGAACTTGGTGAAGTGGGTAGCTAGAGAAAATAACCTAACATGTGGGTTTGAAAGTTTAGGGTGAAAATGTTTGCCCAATTCATACATGGGGTGGTTTTATTATAGCCTTTTTTTGTATAATTTTGTGGCCTTTTTTAATCTTTAATTTCTTTAGATGAATAATGAGTAGCTCTGGAACTAAATTTGCGAAACCTGTCCTTGTAAAGATGATCTTTTCTATGTTTGCGTTTCAGAATCTTGGATCAATTTAAGCTTAAGAGAGCGGAGCCGTTCTTATTTCTGTTATTTGGGTTTAAATTGATTAGGTGATACGATTTTCTATTTATTGAAAGGATGGATATAAGTAACTGAGTTGAAAATGCTCTTAGAGTTCAACCAATCGAGTTTTAGACCATTTCAATCTGAAAAGGCATTAAATAGTTTTGTATTTCTAGTTCTCTGCTTTCAATATTCGTGTTTTTTTTTTATAACTATAAACTTGCAATTTTTTCTTATGTAGATTATAATTTGTTTGCAGGAGCTGTAATGGGCAAAAGAAACACTTATAAGTGCTGATTGCTTTGATGGAATGTCCAGTAAGTTTTCTCACTCGTCCGTCACAGCAATGTTCTCCATTTCAACATGCCCGTTCAGTTGTTTGTTATTAAGGGGGAAAAAAAACTGAAAAAATAATGCTTATTCATTCCTTTGCTGGGAGAGGATATTTCACGTGCATGATCATTACGTGTTGAAGTTCAGTGCAATGAGAGTGCATAAGAGGTGAAGTCCAATGACATGTGATTTTCTTTGGAGAGGTCGTGTGCCATTCCTCCTTGCAGTGACAATCTGAGTGAACCACCTTATTATCGTGTAGTTCTGTGTGTTAGTCTTTCCATAGTGTATTGCTGCATGTAATCCTGCTGAATGATTGTAAATGATTTGTTTCTATTATGGCTAAAGAGAATTTCCTTTACAAGTTATTGCCATGTTTGAGAATTCTTGTTTCCCTCAGCTGTTGCAGATTCTTCTTTGTTGTGCAATGGATCTGACTCTGTTTATGGTTTCTCTTGATTCATTATTTCTAACATGAAGGAGCCAAGCAGGATTGGTGACCGTTCAACCAGTGATGTTGTTGTCCGACTCCGAACACAGGAAGGCCGAGATGATTGGTTTTATTGTCATTCTCCTATCTTGGTAGAAAAGAGCAAATATTTTGCCGACCGCCTTTCTGAGAACTGGCCTACATGCCAGATCCTTGACTCACGGAACTGTGTGGAAGTGTACTGCCAAGAATCACAATTTGATCACCATGTCAACTTTCTACGACTTCTCTATGTTGTTATACATGGTTCATTGGAAGACATATGGCATGGTGTGAAGAATGCCCTTGGCATTCTGCGTGTGGCTGTGGAACTTGGGTGCCCACAAATTGTTGCTGCTTGTGTGAACTACTTGGAAGCAATGCCTTGGGAAGAAGCTGAGGAGGAGGAAATCCTAAAAATCATACCAGGCATGGGACTGAAAGCACAACCAATTCTTGCCCGTGTCCAACCAGTCAATCCATTGGCTGTACTGAAGATTTTTATGTCAGCTATTAAATTTGCCACGTCATCACCTCCGTCGCCCATGAATGATCTTAAAATTTCTACACAAGAGCAGCTCGAGTACATGCTGACTGAAGATGATGATGCCCCTCTATTAACAGCTGATGAGGAGGTCAAACTTGAAGTAAAAGAATGTGTGAAGGGACTGTTCACCAGATTTAACAATATGTTAGAAGCTTTGTTATGTGAGCCTGTGGAATCAGCTTATGAAAAATGGAAAATGCTATCTTTTCAATCATATCTATCAGATTTATCATGGGCTTGTCAGATATTAAATAAGTTGGAGATCATGAAGGAATTTGTCAATAGCTGGGTAGGTGCATCAGATAAGATGGTTTTGGTTGTTGAGCAAGCTAGTTCAGTAGCTGAAATTGTTGAGACAAAGTTGAAGGTTGTAGAGGTAGCAGCAAAGGTTTTGGAAGCAATAGGATATGGCAATGTTATTCTGCCTGCTGCAAAACGGCTTCACATGGTGAAGGTTTGGCTTCCATTTGTGAGGGTGACCAAACCATTAATTGATTCTGCCACAACTAATGGCGATGATGCTCCAGAACTGAAGATTGATGGTGAGCTGTGGCAGTCCTTAGAATCCACATTTGTTTCTATGGTTCTCGCATTGCCATCAGAAGACCAGGCAGAGATTTTGACAGAATGGTTAGGAAATGAGCATTTTCACTATCCAGACTTCACCGAGGCATTTGAGGTGTGGTGTTACAGGTCCAAGGTTGCAAGGAGAAGGTTAGCAGACATACTGGGCAACCACGGCATGGCCGATAATACACTTTGATCATCTGTTTTTTCAACTTTTTTGTTAGGCTCAATCAGAAATCAAGAATCCATTTTTCTATCCTTTGCGAAGATCAGGGCTTGGTCTAGAAAGGGTAATTGAAAAAGTCCCTAAACTGGGTGCGCTAGCTTTTAGCTTCTTGTCCAAATGTGAAATTACATTCTAGGGTATGTAAATGATGTAATGTTAGGCTTCAGTTTGATTGTAAATCAGTAATTGTGAATGTCTCTATATCTAGTGTAATTAAACTCAATTAATCTTCCGGGCTTGTGCCATCATATTGTCTAAGTTGCTCATGCCAATTTTCCTTTATTTATTTACGAGATTATTTTCTAATGGAACACCTTACTTATGCTTAATCAATTTTATATTCTATAATTAAAGGAGAGGGAATTCGAAGTCTGCAGGGATTCCCTTGGTGAAGGGCAGTAAGCTTAATAAAATACTGGATGGATCTTTGAAGATCCAACTTTGTACATTAACACAACCAGATACGTTAATTAAGTTGATTTATATGGTTTTCTTTCTTAAAACACAAAACTTTCTGCCACGAAAAGAAATATGACGAACCTTGCATTTGGAATATTACTATTTTTTCAAGGGTTGTTGTTCAGTAATGTTGAGTTGTGAGAATAATAACCAACTGCTAGTCTATGCTATTCGCCTATTCCACCAGCAGTACAGAGCAAGGAACTCCCTTGCCAAAAGAATATAATACATGATATGAGAAAACCTTATCCATGTTGGTCAATTATGGGTTGTAGTTAAGGTGTTAAAGATATCGGTATCCTTGACAAAGAAGCAATCCTTAAAAACAAAGAAATAAGACAAACTTGCACTATACCTCATTCTTTTATCTATTTCTGCCTATTAAGTAATAGTTTGGTCACTTTTCTTGTTCTATGGAGCAATGACTTTGGACAGTTTGGATTGGTTATTTATGCATTTGGTCTTTCTCCTTTTGACTTTATTTTTCTACCCCAGTATTTTTTCCTACTTTTCTTGAGCAGAGAAACTTTTTGGGGGTTCCTTAACTAGTCATAATTTCCCAGCATTCATGCATCAGAAAATAATATTTGTAACCATTTCTGACGCTTTTTGGGGTTCCTTGTCTTTTGAAAATTTTGCTTGAATGGGACCTGTGATGCTTATGCTTCACTAAGCTCTCCCCATGCAGTACCGAACGTGGATATGAAAGGGGTTTTCTTCCAATGTATCGGTCTATAGATGATGTTAACCTATTGATTCTGAAGAAAAATTATCATTACTGTTGTCTGCAGTATCCCATTCTCTTATCTTCATTTCTTGTGTGTAGTTAGTAATCAATTGAGTGTCACAGTTCATACACACTTCTCTTTATTTGATGAAATACACAATGACATCATGATTGCTCGCAATCAATATATATACTATATTGGTATTACCCCAATAAGTAACTTTTATGACACCAATCCATCTACCCATCTTCAAAAACTTACAAAAATAATATACAAGCCTCAACCATACACTAAATCCTAAGCTGTCTTAGAACTCAAATGGTTCTATGCCAAGTATAGACCTATACTAAGTAAATTTTCTTCTTTCTTTACACTACCATGCATTTTCCTTGTTCCCTGGCAATAGATGGAACAGCAACAAATAGTGAAAAGAGATCGTGAAGCCTCCACCTCTTTTACCTAATGTATCAGGCCACAAAGTCTGGCAACAGTTGGGCTATAAACCTCTTTCGATTCTGAATGTCAATGCTCTCGTATGCACTTGAAGAGTGAGGTGTGGATGTGTTAATGGCTCCAAACTCATTTGGTTCGCCGATTTCTACTCTTCTTCCCAACTGAATGTTTTGGTTAGGAAGAAAAGTTTGATGAGTTCCTGATAAGGAGAGGTTCTCACAATGGGGCAGCCCAAGAGTGAGAGAAACACCATTGCCAGAAAACCGTGGTGTGAACTGCTCTCCATCAAACCTCCCAATTTCGCCAATTGGGTATTGCCCAAAACCTCCAATGAAGTTGGTTTGGCCTCCCATGAATGAGTAGCCATCCCTACTCTGCCTCTCGTTGCCGAATTTCATAGAAATCTGCTCATTGTTTGCCTCATCAGACTTGATATCCATGTTTATGGATGGCACACTAGTTGGGGACTGTATCAAATCATGGCTTCTTGGTTTCTTTGGGCTCCCTTGTGTGATCCCATCTAATTCTGATGATCCTATGAAGGAAAATCCAGACTGGTTTCGGACGTTTCCTCCAACAGGAGATGTTGAAGCTGTGGGTATTGAGATCGCGGAAGGAGCATCTGGTGAATTGTCCAAGGACTTAAAACTTCTAGTTTGATTTTCGCTAGCTGAACCTTTCTCTTGCAGAACCGACCTTGAAGCAGAATCTTCATTGTGTTCGCTCTTGCTCGTTTTGTCATCTGATCCATTCTGTTCTTGTTCCTTAATTTCCTCCATGTACATTTCTTCTACCATTGGCTTCCAAAGTCGAACTCGAGCATTTATGAACCAATTAGACACCTGTATAATAACAGACACATAAATATAAGAATTTTCACATCTGGATTTAGGAATGCTTCAAAATGCAGGAGTTGGCTCATACCTGGCTCCTCGTGAGCCCTGTTTGTTTTGCGAGCATGTGCTTGTCTGAATCCTTGGGATAGCTGAAACATGAAGGGTTCACAAATCAGACACGAACAAAAACGGACCAAAGACTAAATGAAGTTAGTTATCAATAGGAGAGGGCAAAAAAATGCAATTGTTAGAATTCTGAGGCTGCTTACGGATGGAGAAAGTGTTCGAAGAGCCAAGCACGGAGGACTGAAACTGATCTTTCAGGCAATCCTCTCTGGGGTCTCCAAGCATTGTGCTGGATCATTCCCAACTGTTGAAGCGCCCGCTGTTGCCGAAGGTGATGATCGACAAATTTAAGCCTTGAACCTTCAATCTTTCCTCCTAAGCAATCCTCTTCACCTAAGCTTTTGTTTGCAGCTTTAATTTGGCCTGTTATTGCATCTTTTAAGCACCTAAACTGCTTGGAGATTGTTTTCAGCGCAAGAGCTGTGTACGTCTTTGCTGAACCAATTCCAGCTGCTTGCTCAAACGAGGAAATCACTATCTGCATCTGGTGATGATACTGCCTGTATCTTTGCTCCACCTGCAGATAATAATAATGTTAAAAAAAAAAAAATGAATAAAAGCATTCCAATTATCTGCTGTAACAACAATAGGATACTTGTTCAATTGAAAGGCTTGAGCCTCCCTCTGTTCCTATCTTGTGAAAATTGAAGTTCTTAATTTAATTAGTGCATATAGCAAGGGTCCAAAAAAGATATGACCTGAAAACACTGGTTGAATACAACACCGAACTGAAATTTAGACTCAGTTTCCTTTGATGTGTTTCTTACAGTGATAGAGACTAACTCAATCCCTAGTGATCTTAGCCAACATTTTTCTCAACACAATCAAGAACATTCCAAGAAACTTTCCTCAGTTTCTTTAACCAAACTTCATTTTCAAAACGAACTTATCTAAACCTCACCAATACAGATTGAAAACAACACATAGTTAAATATATAAACTGCATACCTCATCAAGCATACTAATAAGCTTTGCCTTCTTCATCTGAATTTCCTGCCTCTCTGCAGTCGAAAGCTCCAGTCCACGCTTCCCACTTGCTTCTCCTTCCCCAGACCCTTCACCGGCTGATGATTCTCCAACTACCTTATGACTATTATTACTACTAATCCCATTACTCTTCTTTGACAATTCACTCTTAATTCCGTTACTATTCACATTAACAACCTCATCAAGTAGCTCTTGAGTAGCCTTCAAGTACTTGGAGCTCAACAACACTCCTTGCATACCCGGTACCCCATTTGTCACACCCGAACCGGATGACACAGACCCACCCGACACCCTCATATCCTCACCAGACAAAGGTTGAGCCTGCGATCCGAAACCCCCTTGCTGTTGTGAGGAGAGGCTCAAAGACAGGCCTTGTTGGGCGCGTGGTGTTTCACGCGCGGTCGACGGAGGGTCAATTGGATTATAAAGGTTGTAATGGATACGCGGGATAAGTCCATGCAAAGTGGAAGCGTCATGAGAGTTAGGGTCCAAAGGTATGCCAACGAATTGTTGGGTGTTCGATGGCGCGTGGCCCGAGAGGTGCGGTGGAGGAGAGAGGCTGTTGGCAGCAGCAGAAGCAGCAGCGTTGAGGAATAAAACGTTGTTGGAAGGTTGTGGTGGAGGGGTGTCGGAGTATTGGACATAAGTAGGGTTCATGAGTACCAGAGTTTGAAGACCTTCTGCTGAAGCTGCAGCTGCTTGGATTTCAGGATTCCCATGAAAGTAGGTCGCCATCAGATTGGTTTTCTCGAAAAACTATTTTAGTCTTGTATCTACACTTGAAAAGAGACAACGTCAGTTATTAGCCTTCACATCCAAATATCAAATCGAAACACACATACAGACTTAAATACACACTACCCTCATCTTTCTACATGCACACACCCCCCATATCTGTACAATTCAATCAGTTTTTATGTTACCTTTATGAGAGTGGAATCTGTGATCAACCCATCAAAGACGAAGTGTTGAAATGGATGGGAATTCTACAGAAACTGTGATGATCTCTTCTTACTGTAAGCCTGTGAATCAATAAGAGGATGCATGAGGAATCCAGAAAGTATAGCTAGAAGTGAAGATCGTCAAAGAATTTCTTGTACAAACTCATTTGACCAATAATTTAAAAGTGCGATCAAATCAAAGATTTTAAAAGAATTCTTGTTGGTTCATGTTTATAGGTTTCCATCTTCTAGAGCTTGAATATATATCAACATCCAGAAGAAGAAAGAATTAGAAAAGAAGGGGGAAAGGGAGTGGAATAAGGAGAGGTGATGTTTATATAGAGAGATAAAGAAAGAAAGAGAGAGAGAGAGTGCAGAGATTGATAGAGAAAGAGAGAGAGAGAAGCTAGAATTGATTATAGTATTAGTTTTTATATAATTGGAACCTGTTGTGATGGAAATCTGAGTGTGCACGTGCTTCATGATCATCTGCACTTCAAGGGGAAAGAACAATTTTTCACTTACAATGACTTAAAGCCCATGAATTTTGCGAGAAAGAGAGAGAGAACTAGTTACAGTTGGGGCTAAAATACATGAGATAAGGAAAGGGAGGACATATATATGTATATATATATATACATGAAAAACACAAAGGAGCGCGCACCCACCTGTCTCTTGTATGATCTATCTAAGGATTTAACAGACTTAAGAGGAAAGAGCTTTGTCAGACTCAAATCTCTGCAACTTCCCTTCTGAAAAGGAAAAAGAGACGTAAAGAGAGAGATGGGGTTAAAAAGGCTGAGAAAAAGATACCCTTCTTTATTCACTCATTATCCATACATACAAATATTTATGACCCCCCATTTTTCTTTTTTCTTTTTTTTTAAAAAAAAACAAAACTATTTGAGCTAAAAGGAAATTACTCGACTAGTTAATTCATGTGCCAGTACATGTATATTGTTGTGCTCTTCCTATGTTTTTCTTGATTGGTGGCGGGGTGTGTAAGTATATAAGATCATGAGAGGTTGTTAGCTATTTGTTCTGAGGCACTTGAGGACTATCTTATAGTATACTTATATAGACACCTTCCTTCTCTTTCTCTTTTATGGCTTTTGAGTGAGGTACCTGCGAATACATCAAAACAAGGGAACTTCTGTGATTTGACCTTCTCTTTTCATATCATTTGATGCCTCAGGGCAACTTTGATGAGCCACAAAGAAGCTTTTTCTTTTTTTTTTTAGTGTGAGTCTAAAGAGATCAGGAGGAGTATGTGTAGTAAGTGTTCTGTATATAAAAAGAAAGAAAAGAAAAACAACAATAATAATAAAAAAAAAATTAAGATTTCATCAAAGTGTGTCAGAAGATCGATACACAATCAGCAGAAAAACGAGGAAACGTCTCCTTCCAAAACACAAAAGCTCAGTAAATGAAAAATATAAAGAAAAGACGGATGATGATGATGATGATAAAAACTGCATATGGGTGGAGGGGTCCCTATTGTTCAATTCAAATAATAAATATCTCTGTCTTCTTCACCTTTCTGTTTGTTTTCTTTTTTTATTTTCATTTTTTGGGTATAATTTTTGTGGTTGGATGATAGAGTTTAAAGATAAAGCAATTAAAACACTAAGGAACACAGAACCAACCACCACAATACCTACTTTAATGTTCAATGAAGTTTACATATTTAGTCTTTTTTATATAAAAATCAAAATTATATTATTATTAAAAAGATAACTAGCGAAAAACTGATAAAATTTACAATATTGTGATAAATTGAAGGAAAAAAAATTAAAATCAAATTATAAAATCATTGTTTCTATATATATATATAGACTCCCCTAACTAAAGAATCTACCATTACATTTTATTTTCGAAAAACATGAGTACATAAAATATGATGTAAAAATTTAATCAAAATATCAATAGAATTAAAAAGACTCCGTCACATGTCAAAAGTCTAGAAATAGGCTTTTCTATTTATCAAAACAATAATATTCGCTAAATGTGGTATATATATTTAGTTACCTAAAATCACGATATATATATATACACACGAGAATATATATAAAGAGAGAGAAAATGAAATTGCTATAATAATTAATTTTGATGTATATAATAAAATAATAAATCAATATATGTAGCTAGTTCTGTCTTTGTACAATTGCGTGTATATCAAAAATTGGAATATATATACGAAAACATGTATCAAAATATGCAAAATTCAGTAGTGGATAAATTCAAATGCATGCATTTGCATAGAGGTAGCCAAAATATATGGGCTCTGTCTAGCCATAGGTTCTCACTGTTTTTCTTTTTCCTTCTTTTGGGTAAAGCATCCAACCTACTAACAAATTTTAAGAAACAAATTACTTGTATCTTAATTATGGAAGAATTATCCCGTATTTGCTTCTGACACTTTTCTGTCTTCAATATTTTTCCATTATTCTTCTCCAAACAACACCTCTAGAGGGGGCCTCCAATTGGAAATATAAAACAAGGGGTTGATAGGTAGCTGTGTAGCTAAAATTATTTAAAGGTAATGACTATAATAAATAAAGAAGAATAGGTCTTCGTGCCAGACCAGTTAATTCATTCTCAACAGCAATCTTTATAAATTTTTGTATCTATGCCTGATTTAGATCAAAAACCAGTTCTATCTCCATCAGAAACAATGATAGTACAAGAATGACCTTTGTGATGTTAATAGGAGCAGTGTACAAACAAGGCACATTCATGATGTTCATCATCAGGTAAACAATGTCTGGTTGCAGCAGGGCAATTAATATATACAATGTTGGGTTTACTATAAATTAAGTGAAAGGGGATTTGTGTGATGGTATTAAATTTCTAAGTCATCCTCGGATTCTCTAAAGAAAACTTTGTAAGAACTTTGCAGTTTATTAATTTTGTCAGGCTGACACTAACTAATTCACTGCCAGTGAAAAAATTATGCTGCATGCTGCCATAAAAAGCAAGTGCTTCTAATCTCAACTATCTGAAGTACCTGTCTAGGCAGTCAGGTATACCTAGAATAATTAACCATAGAAATAGGGTTGGAACCTTTCATAGAAGATCAGGTCCATCCATTGTCTATTGATGCTGCAAGATAATTGCTATACAGATGATAATATTTACTTCCTCAAAGGTAAAATATATCCCATGTTAATTGAAGAAACTGACCAAAGGTAAAATAAGTCGCCATGATCATGCAAGAATCTTCATGAAAATTAGGCACCTATTCAATTTGAAAGCCGAAAAATTCAAATGTTGGATTGGCATTGGAGTAGAAGAAATAAATTTCTTGACAAAATTTCCTTGAAGGCAACTTTCATTGTACAAAAAAGCATCAACTCCGAATATGATGTGATAATAATTGTCCACTGAATTTTTTAATAATTGGAAATATATATGGGTTGTTGACTTGGTCATTTGAAGTTCAGCTTTATTTTTGTTTTTAAATATCGTCAGTTTCTTTCGGTATTAAACTCCGAACGGATAGATTTTCTAACTGGATTTATGGGTGCAACCAAACTTGTGACCTTCCAATGTCCTTTTCAAGTACATCGATATACAATATCAATCAGCAACTTTAAATTACAAGTTGCTGTTGGATTTAGCACAGATCGATCATGTTCTAGTTCTACTGTAGTATTGCTATGTTAATGATTTTGATTAAGAAAATGTATGCCAAGGAAGCTTCGATATATACTGGAATCGAAGAGTAAAAGTAACCATTAATGATGGTGACTTTTGATAGAATTAAAATTCAAACAAAACCTATTTTATGATATGAAGAACATATATTTGATTGTTGGTATTTTTAATTCACTAAATTCTTAGTTCATGTCGCTGTTTTGTCAGATCTAAATCTTTCACTTACAATATCTATGGTTTAACCTAGCTAGTACATGTGCCCGTACTAATATTATAGTGTCCCCTTAATGGTATGAGTCCATTTTCAAAAAATGCAACTGGTGCATATCACATCAAAGTAGTCCCCTAAGTTCTGTGCAACCATCTGGAATGCATCTCTCTCTCCCTCTCTCTCAATTTTTATTCAAAAATGTTTTAGGCTAGTAAGTGGGCTATGGTGCATGATCTCTTCTCATGTATATATATATATATATATATATATTCTACTCAAGAATCTTATCATGCACGAAGACCTTCTCATCGCTGCTTGTCTCTAGTTTTCAAAATTCCTATTTCGCTTGCAAGAAAATAATAAATCTCATGAGTTAAGTTTTTTTTTCCCCCTTGAAAAAAATCGTTATTGAAAAATATTTTTTTCTAAAAAATACTTAGTTATTTTTAATGTTTTATTGTATTAAAAAGAATATTATCTGAAAAACTAAATTATTTTTTATTGATAATTATTGAGGAGTTAATTACATTTTTTGTTTAGCAACATGTCAAGTTGTGTTTTTTAATCTTTATCATTTAAATAGATTAAAGTATAATTGTTTTCTACAACTATTTTTGTTAACTTCCATTGACTTTATGCTGAGGTAAATGTAAATTGCACAAGTGATACCGACATATGGGTTCCACTATCAATTTGTTTTTTTTTTTTTTGTACAAACTTATTAATTTTTTCTATTTGAGTATGTGAATTTTAAATTTTATTATTTAAATATATCAACTTGTAATTTTTTTATTTGAATAGTTTTGATAACTTTAATATGACGTATCCGTTAGCTGCACACATAGAATTATTATGTGGGCTTATTGTCAAAACACACGACGACTAGAAAAAGATAAAAAAGTAACGATTTATTCTCATTCTCATAT